GCTGGATTTGAGTCGGAGCTATGGGGCAAATACCTATGTCTAGGGCCGGCCGGCAGTTGGGATCCCCCATGGCAATGCATGGGGCTACTATTAAAGGGGGCGTCCCACGGGCAAGAGCCTCATGTTGCCCCCGGGGGTTCCACACCCACTCCCAGCTCTCTGCCTCCTGCCCCTCTTCGGTCCAGGCTGCCCTAGAGACTACACATCCCAGCATGCAATGCGGCTCACGCTGGGCTCTGTGGTCTCGCCAAGCCACGTTTTGGGGGATGGTGGCTGGTGTTTTCCCCCCGGGGACAGGCGAGCAGCGTCCCTTCCCGCCCCCCCCAAGCACCCGTGTGTTTGAAAGAGAATTGTCTTTGCGTTGAAAACGTTTGAGCTTGATTCTTCCGGCAGCAGCCTTTTCCCCGGATGAATTGGTGGATCTGTGCTGTGTACATAGTGTTTTTTTTAAAACAGAGAAAAGATTAAACCAGATTCTATTTATTGTGCTTTGGAGGAAATGTTGGGGGATAATTTAATGTTTTTAACCATTAAATTAATATTTGTGGATTATGAATCCTGGCTCTTCCTTCCGGCAGAGATGGCGGCCCCAGCGGCGTGGGTGGGGCTGGTGGGTTCCCTGCGGCTGTCTTGCCACAGAGGTGGGGAGTTAGGATCTCAATGCACTTTTCAGTCAGACTTCCCGTCACCGCTCCCATTTGATACTGGGAGGGGAAGTGACTCTTCTGAGGTGTCACAGATTGCAACAGAGCCCGGGGCAGAACCCAGGAGTCCTGGCTCGCAGCATCCCCCCGCTCTAGCCACTAGACCCCACTCCCCTCCCAGAGCTGGGCAGTAGTTGCAGCTGCCGTGATGCCTCGTGTTTTGCACCCACGTCACATCCCCCACTCCTACGGCAGCACAGTCCCCGGCTCTGGGCTCCTGCTCTGGCTCCCCCGTCACTGGCGTGCCCTGTGTGCCAGTTGCTGTAACTGCTGGGGGGAGGACACTGGGGGGCTGGCACCATTGCTCCCTGGTGCATCACCCTCCCCTTTCCCCTGTCTGAGCCTCCTGCTCCCCTGTAGCCTGCAACAGGGACTGGAGAAGATGCAAAGAACCCGCCCAGATCCCCGTGATTTGGGCAGAGCTCTCCTCCCACCTGATCCATGGGCTGGGGGGAGAAGGGGGCTCAGAACTATTCAGGTTTGGCCGGAGCCTTTGCCGGGCTGGCCGTGACCCTGGCTGGGAATCCAGCACGACCTTAGATGCTCACGCAATGCTGGGAACTGTGCGCCTGGAGCCCAGCTCCGGGATGCTGGCCGGGTACCTTCCCCTTTTCTGCTAGGCCCCTAGGGGGCAGGGGAGCTGGCTTCCCAGCTACTGGCCTGGAGGTTCCTGCTGCAAGGGAGGGTGTCTGGCCTGGCTCAGATGCTGCTATAGGAACCTGGGGGGGGGCAGCGGGATCCGCCCTGGCGCTCGTGGGGTGGGGATCCCAGCTGCTAGTCCTAGGGCTGGCTGGGTCTCCGCAGTGACGCTGCAAGGGAGGCTGTATCGGCCGGGCTGTCACTGCGGCCTGGGCCCAGCCTCTGGCTGGGGCACTCAGTGACACAGCAAGGGAAGGAAGGAAGCCAGCGTTTGGCAACGCTAGCTGGGTGCCTGTTGCCAGGCCAGGGTGGGGCAGCTCAGCCTCCCAGCTCGGCGGGGAGGAGAGCTGGCTGCTGCCAGGAGCCTTAAAAAAGAAAAGCGAAAGCCCTGGGCCCAGCTGGGGCCGTTTCACAACATCCCAGCCTGGGGCAAGGGCCAGACGCCACAAGCAGCTAGGAGGAGATTACTGGAGATGGAGGCTTTTCCCAGCCGCAGCTCCTCACCCCCACCCCCCCACGCCGGGCCCCTTTGTTCGCTGCCTCCCAGGGATGTAGCTCAGCGTGGGGCGAACCCACACGGTGCATCTCTCCCCCCAGCAGAGTCTGCCACAGACCCCAGGGAGCTTAGGCCCAAAGCTCTTTGGGCCTCAGTTTCCCCATTCGGAGAACAGGGACGAAAGCTCTGCCCTACCTCCTGGCTGGGGCACTCGGACCACAGGGGTACGAGCCCGAGAGCTACCTAAGAGACGGAGCTTTGCTAAGGGGCAGCTGGGGCTGGGGCAGCCGGGGGGGCTGTGGGTTGGGACTGAGCGGCACTGGCAGAGCTGGGGGGAGAGGGAGTCCTGGGGGGGTTGGTTGGGGAAGAAGGTGGGGGGGTGTCCCGGGCTCTGGTGGGGGGCAGGGGAGCGGGGGGAGGACACTCGGTCCCTTTAAATGTGTGTGGGGGGGCGGGGCTGGGTCGCTGGCCCCGCCTCTTGGCCTGCCCACGTGGTTCCCCGACCCGGAAGTGCCCGGCGCCCACGTGGTGGGCGAGGAAGATGCCGGAGTCGGAGCTGAAAATCAACGCGGGCTTCGCGGCCCGCTACGGGCGCTACCGGCGGCAGGAGGAGCTGCAGCGGCGTGAGCCGGGGGCGGGGCCTGGCGAGGGGGCGGGGCCTGCGAGAGGGGGGGGTTCCCCGATCCCAGCCTGGGGAACCCCCCCACCCCAAGGGCGCCTTTCCCCAGCAGGGGCCCGTCTCTGCAGCCCCCCCATTGCATGACGTCTGCCCCTGCAGACCCCCCTTGTCCTGGGCTGCCCCCCCGCCCTGACCCAGAGACCCCCCCCCGCTCCTTCCATGGTCCTGGGGCCCCTGGGGGGCGGGGCCCCTGGGGGAGAGGGGAAGAGGCACCCGCAGACCCCCCCAGCTCCCCGCTAACCCCACTGCCTTTGACCACCCCAGTGCAGGATCGCTATGGGGCCGACGCAGGGGCCGGTGGGGAGTCCAGCTCGGAATCGGAGGAAAGTGGGGACGACGCGGTGAGCCTGGGATGGAGGTTGGGGGTCAGCGGGCCTGAGAACGGGGAGTGGCTTCAGAACAGGACTCCTGGGTTCTCTCCCCGGCTCTGGGAGGGGAGGGGAGGGGGGGCTGGTGGGTCAGAGCAGGGGGCTGGGAGCCAGGATTCCTCCTGGGTTCTGTGCCCGGCCCTGACGCTGACTGGCTCTGTGCCCTTGGGTGAGCGACTTCCCTGCTCCGTGCCTCAGTTTCCCCCTCTGTCCTGTGGGGATAATGCTGAGCTGGGGTCAGTGCTAGACACAGAGCCCCAGAGAAAGGGTGGCGGGGGGGTCGCTGTTGACTAACCCGCTGGCCCCGGCAGGAGCTGGACCCTCTGCAAGACAGAGATTTCTATCGCACTCTGGCCCTGCTGAAAACCAAGGATCCCAGGATCTACCAGAAAGATGCCACCTTCTACAGCCAAGCAGGTAACGTCTCCCCCTCCCGTGTGTGCCTCTGCTGGGCACCCCTCCCCCTCGCTCCCTGCCCCCGGTGGCTCCCCCCATCTGAGCTGCAGGGTTGGCGTAACTGTCTGGTGTTGTCCTAGGTGGGACCCGCTGGGCACAGTAACTCCGGGGGGGACCGCTCGGGGCAGAGGCCTGGTCCTGGCTCCCATGGGCAGCTCGCCACGTTGCCATAGTAACCTAGGAGGGACACACTGCATGGGATCCCCTTCCTCCCCCTCCCAGCTTAATTCCCAGCTGGGACCCCTCCCCTGCTGCCTTTACTCCATTCCCGAAGTTCCCACGCCCAAGGCCCATGGCTGGGGTCTCCGAGCCAGGAATGCTGGGCTGTGGCTCCCTGATCTATGGGGACGCCCCTTCCCAGCCTGCAGAACACTCGAATCCCTGGACCGGAGCGCCTGGCTCCCCGCGCTGAGCTGGGCTGTGGCTCTGTTCTCAGGTTCCTTGTCAGAAAGCGGGAGGGAGGCAGCGGCAGCTCCGAAGAGGAAGGAGAAACCCATGTACCTGAAGGATTACGAGAGAAAGGTGATCCTGGAGAAGGAAGGGTAAGGAGCGGGGGCTGGGCTGGGCCGGGTGGGGCCCCAGAGGTCCCTGGAGGGGCGATTTCATAGAGTTTAAGGCTAGTTTAAGTGAGCAAGACCCACCAGCTATGCATCTTAGACGGAGGATGCTTTGTCCCAGCTCAGAGCCCCGATTTGCACTGACCGATATCTCATCTCCAGCCGAGGCCAATCCCTGATGCTTTAGAGGCAGGCGGGAGGAGGGGACACAGCCCAGAATATATCTAATTGTGCACTGGGAAAAACATCCCTTCCTGATCCCTGCAAGCGACTGGCTGAGGCCCTGAAGCCTGCGATTGGATTATAGCCATTGGCTTAATGCAGAGCTTCAGGTGTTAGGTGTGTGTTGAGGACAACGCGGATGAGGGGTTGGCCTCCCTCTGGAGCCTTCTGGCCAAAGGCCCAGGACTGGTTGCCCCGTGGCTGAAAGGGCAGTGCAGAGTTTGAGGGGTCCTCCTCCGGCAGGCAGCTGTGGGTTTGTGGCAGTTTTGACATAGCCGGGATTGGGTGCTTGGCCCCTCTGCCGATGGCGGCCGACATAGTGCAGGGGCGGCGTAAAGGCTGAAGCAGCCAAATAACCCGTTTTCTTCCTCTTCCAGCAAATACGAGGAGGATGAGGACGACGAGGAAGCAGCAGCTGAAAGACAGAAGGTGGGGAGGGGCTTGGAAAGGGCCTTTTCAGGTTGGTGGGGTGACTGTTTCTCCACCCAGAGAGAGTGAGGGAGGAGGTGCCAGGATGCCTTCCCCCCTACAGAGCCTGTTCTGCCTCCTTAAACCCCACCTGTTCTGCCCCCTTAAATCCCACATATCAGTGGGACATGAGATTCTCCTCTTCCTGCCCTATGCTGTTGCAGCATAGCTGCTGAAAGACTGCTGGGCCTCACCCCAGAGGTGGCCGCATCTCAGCGCCAGGGGAGGGATTCCTTTGGGGGTATGGAGACCGGTGCCAAGTTTAGCCCTCTGTCTCCCTTGCTGTGCAGAGAGCCGCCTCCCAGAGCTACGTTGAGGAGCAGAAGCGAATCAAGGAGAGGTGAGGGGGAGGACGGGGTGTGGGGCACAGGGTGGGCGTGGCTGACCAGGGTGAGTTCCTGCAGGGACCCACCAGACACAGGGACCACCGGGGGGATGGGCTGTGAGCCCCCAAAGGGGTAGGTATGCAGCAGCTGCCCATTGGGGAGGTGCCGGCTGTGGGGGCAACAGGTGCTCAGCACTCCAGCCAGGCAGGCACCTGTGGTCGGTTGGGGGTGGGGGGGTCCGGTGGCTTCGAACCCCGGTGCCTGCTGCTAATCCCGCAGCGTCCCCGTCCCGGCAGCTTCCAGCCATTCGTGGCAGACAGCGATGGGGAGGAGAGCGCGGGGGAGGGCGGCTCGGCCCTGCTGCAGAAACGGATCAAGAGCACGGAGGAGAAGGTGGGTGACTGGTGCGGGCGGGCGGGGGGGCGTTGCTCTGGGTCCCTGGGCCAGTGGGGGTTCTGGGCAGAGACGGTTCCTGTGCCGGGGGGGGTTGGTGGGGTCAGGCGTCTGGGCTCAGGGGCTGCGGTTCTGGGGGCTGGCTCCCCTAGGTGGGGATCTCGGCACGGCGCCTCCTGCTGGGCTGGCTGGATTTGGGGGGCGAGGGGGGGGCTGTGCTGACGGGGTCTCTGCTTATCTCCACCCCAGGCGCGTGAGGAGGAGGGCTATGTCAGCTGGCTCAAAGGGCAGGATTTGCCCCCGGACCAGCAGCTCGAGGACCTGGTAAGCGGGCCCCCGTTCTCCCCCGGCCAGGTGCTGTCGGAGCCCCCAACCCCAGGGCCAGCGTCCCATGTGACCTGCTCCTGGCTGCCTGGGCTGGGCGCGGCCGGTGTGAGGAGGATGCCTGGGGGCTGGGCAGAGACCCCCACAAGCGCCCCCTGCTGGTGGGTGAATAGGGTCCACAGCCAATGTAAACCCAAATCGTGCCCACCAACCCCTGGCCCAGCGCTCGGCCCTTTGCCCGGGTCTCCCCTCTGGAGAGTCCGTCCTCAGCCCACAGGCGGGAGGCACCTGCTGGTCCCTGCTGGGCGCCGGCCCCTCGGGACTCTGTTCTGCTCTCTCCCGTGCGATATCCTGGGACTGCGGAGCCCCACGGCCTTTCCGGGGCCAGCCAACCTGTGACAGGCCCAGCCTTAGATCCGCTCCTCCCCGCCCCCGTCTCCCTGCAGCTCTGGCTCTCAGGGGCCCATCTAGCCTGGGATCCCGCCTCCGACAGGAGTGGCACCAGCTGCTTCAGAGGTAGGAGTGGGAGGCAGAAATGGGATCGCCTGCCGCTGGGGGAAATCCCTCCTGACCCACGTGAGTTAGGGGGTTGGGGTCCTGCTCGAAAGCGAGAGGGGGTCCTAAACCCCTCTCCCAACTCTCGGTTACTCTAACCCTGGCCTCAGTCGCCACCTTGTGGCAGTGAGTTCCGCCGTCCTCTCTCCACCAGGCTCCGCTGAAGGAGTATTGGAGCGACCCCACGCTGGCCCCCGGGGAGCGCTTCCTCCGCGACTACATCCTGAACAAGGGCTACAGGGAGGAGGACGAGGAGGAGGAGGAGGGAAGGCAAGTGCAGTGGGTGCACCTGGGGAGCAGCTTTCTTGCCCTCTGCCTTTCCCTGCGCCTTGGGGCTGGATGAAGGGATCCCCCGACCCCAGGAGCCAGATCACGAGCGGACCATGTTTGATTGGGGGGTCTCTAGCTTGGGGGGCCTGGCCTGACTCTCGGGGCTGCGTGCCCTGCAGATCCAGTGGGGTGGGCGGCTCCGCCCCAGCTGCGCCTGCCTGGACATGTGTCCTTTGGAACTCCTGGAGACCGGCCGCCTCTCCCATTGGCCAGTCTGGGGTGGGTGTGGCCACCCTGGCCAATCAGAGCAGGAGCTGGGGGGGGTTATTGCTGTGGCTGGAGGAGAACCCATTGGAACCAGATGGGGATGGGTTCGGCTGCTGTGGGGCTGGAAGTGTTGGGGGGGGGGGGGGGGGCTCCCTGGGGATGGGGGGCGGGGGGGGAGCGTGGCCTGTGAGCAGAGCTCCCTGTAGCTGTGGGGGGGCCAGGGTTACCCCCCTGGGGGATGGCTAGTGCCTGGAGGGGCACGTGCTGAAATCAACATATGGGGCAAGCATGCGGTGCCGCCGAGTGGGGGTGACGGCTGCCAGCAGGGGGCGCTTGTCCTTGTCCTGGGGAGGTGGAAACATAAGGCAAAGGCCTTGGGAGGGCTAGAGCGGGGGGCGAATGGGGGGGGGGAAGTCTGGGCTGGGGCCCCCAAATTAAACACCCCCCCCCCCCCCTCTGTCTGCCGTGGTGCAGGTGAATGCTGCTGCTCCCAGCCTCGGCTGATGCTGCTGGCTCTTAGCTCAGCCCTTTAGATCCCGTGGTCGTGGGTTCAATCCCCGGCGCCGATGGCCCACCCAGGGTGTCACATCACCCCGAGGAGAGGTTCCTGGAGACACACCCCCCCCCATGGCCTTGTTGTCTCTCCCCAGGGGCCCTGGGGCCGTGTCCCCCCTGCGGCTGGAGGACTCCTCGGACGAGGGGGAGCTCTTCCTCAAGAAGCAGGAGGAGTTTGAGCGCAAGTACAACTTCCGCTTTGAGGAGCCTGACGCGCAGCTGGTAAGGGACCCCCCCGGGTGCCGTGTAACCCCCCCTGCGCCCCCTGGTGCTGTGTCCCCCCTGCCTCCTCCCCCCGGCCCCCTTGCCCCCCCCTGGGTGCCGTGTCCCGCCCGGGCGCCGTGTCCCCTCTGCCCCCCCCCCTCCCGGCACTATGCTCCTCCCCTGGGGAGGGCGAGTGACTCTGGAGCCAGGGGCAGCTGGGTGGGGCATGATAGGGTCCCAGGAGGGGGGCGCTGGGAGACCCCAATACAGATGCACCCCCCCCCCCAGCTGGAGTGGGGGCTGCAGTGTTGGGTGCCCCCCATGCTGTGGGTGGGGGTGTCCAGGCCGTGGGTGCAGGACGCCAGGGTCCCTGGAGTCTCGCCTGTGTGTGTGGGGGGGATCTGGCGGTAACACGGGTGCCGTGTCCCCCCCCAGGTGAGGACTTATCCCCGGACCATCGCCAGCTCAGTGCGCAGGAAGGACGAGCGGCGCAAGGAGAAGCGTGAGGAGATCAGGGAGAGGAAGAGGAAGGTGAGAGATGCCCCCAGCATGCGGAGGGGTGGGGGCTGGGCTGAAGGGGGCTGGGGGTTCTCCACTCCTGGAGGTTGTGGGGCAGCCTGAGTCGCGGAGCTGAGCGAACAAAGACTGTTCAATGGGGGGAGAGAACAGGGGGCCCGGACTCCTGGGTTCTATCCCCAGCTCTGGGAGGGGACTGGGGTCCAGTGGTTAGAGCATGGGGGGGCTGGGAGCCAGGACGCCTGGGTTCTCTCCCTGCTCCTGTCTCTGCTTGGTCTTTACCCTCAGTGTACTGGTGTCTCCAGGGGCTGGTTCTATCAGACACTGAGTCTCTTGGGGGTTAGGAGCTGCCCCCCCGCATCTCTCTCTGTTGCACGGACCCCCCAGGAGGTGCGGGGGGGGGGTGTCAGCGAGCGAGGGGAGCCCATCCCATAATAACCCCCGGTCCATCCCCCCCCCGCAGGAGAAAGCCCAGAAGCGGGAGGAGTTGAAGCAGTTGAAGAACCTGAAGCGCCAGGAGATCCTGGCTAAGCTGGAGAAGCTGCGGGAGGCGACGGGCAACGCGACCGTGGGCTTCGGGGAGCAGGAGCTGGAGGGGGCCTTCGACCCGGCCGAACACGACCGGCTCATGCAGGCGAGAGGCCCCCGCCCGGGGACCGGGACCCGCCCACCTCGCCCTGGGGGGCCTGGTGCCTCCCGGCCTGCGGCACAGACCCCCCCCACCTCACCCCACTGGGCCCTGGCACCTCTCAGCCCTATGGCACAGACACCGCCCGCCCCCTAATGGGGGCTGGCCTGCAGAGACCTCCCCACTCTCCCCATGGGGCCCTCGCATCTCCTGACGCCGCCACACCCATCTGGGCTCCAAGGGGTTAATGTCCCGCGCCAAGCCCCCAGCTGGCTCCCATCTGGCCCGGGCCCCATGTCCCTGGCCTGGCTCCTCTGTGGGTCACCGGGCTGGGGAGACCTTCCGTGGGACAGAGGAGCCCTCCCTTGTCCTGTCCCCCTGGGCACAGCCGCTCCCCAGGCAGGAGGGGGGAGGGGGACTCCTGCCCCTCTCAGCCCAGCTCTCACTCGGCTCCTTCTCCTCTTCCCACCCCACAGAAGTTCTTCGGGGCCGAGTATTACGGGGAGGCGGAGGAGGAGAAGCCGCAGTTCGAGGAGGAGGAGGGCGTGGATGGTAGGGGGATGGGGAAGGGGGGAATGTGGGGGGAGGACAATGGGGGGCACCATGAGATTCCCACCCCACTTCTGTGCTCCGATCAGCAGGGCAGATCACTTCTCCCCCCACCCCCACTCTGCAGGTGGAAGGTGATCTGATTTGCATATTCACATATGCAAATGAGACTCTCTCTCTTTGGGGGGGGGTGAGTTTGAGGGGCTGGTTCTGGGAGAGCTGTCTGGGCTGGCTCCATAGTGCCCCCAAACTGCAAATGGTGGGGGGCAGTGAGGGGACATTGCATCTGAGCTTCCCCCCCACTTCCTGTCCCAAACCCTGCAGGCAGTGCTGTTAAAATCAGCTGCCGCACCCCAGCCAGAGGTGGCTGCCTCTCAGTGGTGGGTGGGGTGATCCCTGCCCCGGCTCACAGCTGGGGGCTTGGGGAGGGGGGCAGTAGGAGTACGATTCCGCTCCAAAGAAACCGTCTCTTTCCCCTCTGGACCCAGACGGCTGGAACTGGGACAACTGGACCGGCCGGGACGCGGAGGGGGGCGAGTGGCCGGAGGAAGAGGAGAGCTACGAGCCGCACTGCGAGGACCCCAACTTCGTTGTACGTCCCTGGGGCTGAGACCCCGCTGAACTCATGACACTGGTGGCAGTGCTGGGTGACTCCAGCAGGGGGCGCTCCCGGCATGCCAGCGGGGCACGTTCGGGGGCGCCCCACTTGGGGATCAGGGCCCGTGGCGCTGGGACGTGCGGGGGGGGAGAGGGGCGTCTCCCTGAGCCGAGTGTGACGAGCGCCCTGGGGCGGTTCTGTCCCCAGATGGATGCGGATTACGACCCCCGCGTGCGGCCAGGCCCCCCCCGGAAGCGGCAGAAGGAGGCGCAGACGCTGCTGGGGAAGAGGAAGCGCAAGACGCGGTTCACGGAGGCCGTGGAGCGGGAGAAGCCCCCGTTCGACCCTGGTAAAAGGGAGAGCCATTGGGGGAGCAGTGGGGGTTCTGCCTGGAGCCCGGTGTCCTGGGGTGTCAGGCTTCTTGGGCCTAGCAGCTGTCCTGCCCCCCTCCCAACCCCGCCCCCACCGGGAGCCATGTGCTGCCAGCCAGCCAGCCCCCTTCCCTGGGAGCTCCTAGGATGGTTCCCCCCAGCTCCGCCCAGGCCGGCTCCGCACTCGGGGTACCCCCCTCTGGCTCCCTCCTGCCTCCCTCCCCGGTGCCCTCCATGGTCTGCCCCAAGGGCGTCCTGCAGCCAGGGGGCCCCAGCCCCCTCTGAGTCTGCCTCAGGGCCCCCCACAGCTGAGAGGGAACTGACCTGGGTGGGGGGTCACTGGGGGAGGGGGCTGTACTGGGAGTGGTGCCCTGGGCTGGGAGGGGGTTGCTGGACCAGGGAGCCCCTGAAGACCCCCATTTCTCCCCCCTCCCCCCGCAGGGGCTGGCTCCTTCGAGCAGTACCTGGACGAGTATTACCGGCTGGACTACGAGGACCTGATCGGCGACCTGCCCTGTCGCTTCAAGTACCGCGGCGTGGTGCCCTGCGACTTCGGCCTCAGCACCCACGAGGTACCGCCATCCCGCCCCTTCCCCGCCACCTGCCCCTCCTCTGGCGCCCGCCGTTCCGCCCCTCCCCCGGCGCGCACCCCCTCCCTCGCCTCTTCAAGTACCGCGGCGTGGTGCCCTCCGACTTCGGCCTCAGCACCCACGAGGTACCTGCTGCCTCCCCCGCCTGGTGCCCCTTCCCCATCCAGCGCCCACCGCCGCTTCCCTGCCTGGCACCCACCCCTGCGCTCCGCCGGCCTCCCTGCAGTTCTGGGCCTAGCCTGGCTTCTGTCCCAGCTCAAGGAGGGGAGTGGGGCCTAGTGGTCAGAGTGGGGGGGGCATGGGAACCAGGACTCCTGGGTTCTCTCCCCAGCTCTGCCCCGACTCTCTGACCTCAGGGGATCAGTCCTGTCCCTTCTCTGTGCCTCAGTTTCCCCCTCTGGATCTAAGGCTGATTCCCAGCTCCTGGGGGACCCTGCCCCTCACAAGTCATGAACCTTCCCCCTCCTTTGCTCTCGCCCCCGTCAGATCCTGGCTGCTGACGACAAGGAGCTAAACCGCTGGTGCTCGCTGCGCAAGACCTGCATGTAGGGGGGGGGGGGGGGGGGGGCCCCCCCCCCCCCCGCGGCACTTGGGGGATGGGACGGCAGCAGATGGGCCCTGGGCCCCCGGCCCAGCTGGGAGACAAGGGGTGCTTCAAACCAGGACTTTGCTTTGCTCAGAAACCACATGCAGGGTGAGGTGGAATAGGACTCCTGGGTTCTATCCCTGGCTCTGGGAGGGGAGTGGGGTCTAGTGGTTAGAGCAGGGGGGGCGGGAGGGAGGCTTGGAGTCAGGACTCATGGGCTCTGTTTGTGCCTCAGTTTCCCTCTCTGGCGCTCTGCCATAGCATTGCCGGATTATCGTCCATGTCCCGTTCAAACGCTGCCGGGCTGATTCTCCCGTTCCCCAGCTCTCAGCCCTTCTCCCCCAACTAGAGGCCCCAGAGGGTGACCTCTGGGTCCCTCTCTGTGGGTCAGTATCTGAGCCCTCCTGCCCCGCGTCTCCCCGCAGGTCGGAGAAGGAGGAGCTCCAGGACAAGGCCGCCTACACCCGCAAGGCCCAGAACACCGGCAAGAAGCAGCAGATCCTCAAGTCCCTCTCAGCCGCGTACGTACCCTGGGCCTGGGCTCCAGCAGGGGGCGCCAGCGCTCCAGCAGGGGGCGCCAGCGCTCCAGCAGGGGGCGCCAGCGCTCCAGCAGGGGGCGCCAGCGCTGAGTCCCCCACGCTCCCGCCGCGCGATTTGAACCCTTCACCTGCATGGGAGCTCGTCTCTAACCACGTTTTTTTGGCTGGGAGTTTCCTTGTTTTTTAGGAGTCCCAGGGGGCTGCTGGATGGGCCCCCCCAGCTGCTGCACATTCTATGGGGCTCCGGGGGGCTGGGCCCCGGGCAGGGAATCTTAAGCGCACTGGGGTTTCAGAACGGAGGCTGCTCTGCGGAGAGCATGTTCCCTCCTCTGCCCCCCGCTGTTTGGGCCTGTAGGTCAGTGCCCCCCTGCCAGGCTGTCCCCAGAGGAGCAGGCTGGGAGGGCAGGGGGCAATGCCCCTGAGCCCGTCGCCTCATATAAGGGAAATGCTGTGTTCACATGGGGCACCGTGGGTCGGTGGAACTCCCTGCTACATGATCCCAGGGAGGCCAAGAGCTGGGCAGTGTGAAAAGCCTGAATGCTTGTATTTCTCCTGCCTTCTGCAAGGCGTCTTGCACCTTCCGCTGGTCCTGGCCCCTGCTGGAGACGGGCTGGCGATGCCTCTGTTCTCGGGGCCGCAGGCCTCGCAGGGGTGGGTGGCTCTGGCATGGCACGGCTGAATTTGCACAATGCCCCCCGGATTTTCACCTGGCCCCTCTCCTTGTCCTGCAGCGCGGAGGAGGCCGGCGGGGACGAGCGGCGGCCCAAGCTGGGGAAGAAGCACCAGGACAAGGCGAAGCGGCAGCAGCTGGAGCAGGAGCCGCCCGGCGCCGGCCTGGCTGAGCACCAGGAGGATGAGGGGCCCCCAGTGCCCACGGCAGGGGCCTTCAGCCCCACCCTGCCCCCTGCTGGGCAGCCTGGGGCCCTGGAGGGGAAGGCCTCCCCTGGGCCCCAGGACACGGCCCCCAAGGCAGGGCCGCGGCGGAAGCGGCGGGGGCGGAAGGGGCTGCTGCTGGGCGCCAAGGTGCGGGTGGGCGGGCGGGAGTTCAGCGGGCAGAGGCTCCAGGCCTACGGGCTCAACCCGCGCCGCCTGCGCTACCGCCAGCTTCAGCGCCACACCAGGAAGCAGCCTACGCAACAGACTCAGCGGGCCCAGGCGCCCGGACGCCAGGGGCCCGTGGACAAAGCCGCCCGGGCCTGAGCACGGAGAGGAGCCAGGGGCTCGCGTGGCTGGGGGCCATTGTCTCTCCCCCTTCCTGCCATCTGCGGACAGAGGCGGCGCTGCTCGAAGCCCGGACGCCTGCCTGGGTCCTGTTCTGGCTCAGTGCCTCAGTTTCCCCTGCTGGAGCCGGTGCGCTGCCGGCTGGGGCTCAGTGTTTGGTTGCAGAGAGCGGAGCAGAGCCCGTTTCTCCTTCAGTCCTGCTGGGCGTCGTTCCCTTTTTTACAGATTCCGAAATAAACCTCGACCCGGTGCTCCGGCTCCCTGAGTGCGGCTTTCATCTCGGGCCCCCCAGTGTCGGCTGCGGCTCCCCCCGAGTCTGGGGGGCACATTACAACTTTGCTGCTTAAACTAAAACGGGGCTGTTCCCCCAGCCCGGGGGAGTCGAACCCTCCCCTGGATTCCCACGCAGGGAGATGCTGGCTGCACGAGGCCGTCCCCTCCTCGGGCTGTGGGGATTGGGGTTGTGGAGGGTTAGGCTGTGGGGCTGGGCCGGGCGAGCAGCCGTCCCGGGGCTGTCTCCCCCCCCGCAGACCAGGAGCTGCCTTTGCTTTAACCCAAGGACTTAGCCCTGGCAGCCGCTGTCCTCGGGGGAACCCGCTAATGCCACATGGAGCCGAGTCTCCTACCTGCCCTAATCGGGCAGGGGCAGTGCCGGCTCCAGGCAGCGCAAACGGAGCCAAAGCCCCCTGGTTTTTCTGATGCAAATTTGCCTCTGGGGGAAGGGCTGGGGGAGCAGAAAGGCCCGGGGAGGGGGGTGGGTGGGTAGATCCTGCTTTTCCCCAGCTCCCTCTGGGGCAGAGGGAGTCCTGGGCAGTGGGGCAGGGCCCTGAGGTGCCCTTACACGAATTGGCCCCGAGGGCTGGGCGAGCCCCTGGCCCTGCGCTGTCAGCCTGGCTGTCCTAGGCAGGGCCTGGCTCTGGTCTGGGTGTGGGCAGCCCCCGGTGCAGACTGTGGCTCCCCTCCTGCTACTACTCAGCCCTGGCCGCTGGGGGGGCTAGTGCCCATACTGCTCTGGGGCCCAGCTGCCCTCTCCCTACCAGCACCGTCTGGGGGCAGGGGGCGCGCAGGGCTGATGGTGCCACTCGGGTGCCCGAGGCTGGAGCCGGGCCCTGCCTTGCCCCTCTGTGGCTGGGCTGTAGGTCCGTCGCTCGTCCCCCACCAGGCTGCAGCTAAGCCCCTGAGCCGCCTTAGCAGGTGATGCGAGGCAGCCCTTGGATTTCCGAGCGGTTTAAGGGGCCGTGGCAGGCGCTGGTGGCCCCCCTGCGTGGCGAGGCCCCAGGCTGGGCACAGAGCGGCAGGAGTGCGGGGAGATGGCCCTGGCTCGCCTGTGGCGCTCGGCTGGGCCGTGGTGGTGCCGTGCGCTGCTGCTGGCAGGACTTCTGCTTCTGCTCCTCCGGCAGGCGGCCAAGCAGTGAGTATCTGGCACCGGGGGGAGTGTGTGTGTGTGTGTGTGTGTCAGGGGAGCTCAGCAAACTGGGCCGGGGGGCAGCAGGGGCTGAATGTGGCTGTCGGCAGGAGCAGCTGCGGGTGCTGGGCCATGGCTCCCCTGTAATCCAGCGCCCAGCTCTTGCTGTGGGCAAAGGCTCGGTGTGGGCAAGCTGGGACAAGACCCCACCCCCCATCTGCAGTGCATGTGGGGTTGGGGCCTGGGGGTTCCCCAATGGCCACGTGCCTCAGCAAGCAAAGCAAGGGGGCTGCTGCTTCAGGAGCCCATCCTGGCCCAGGGTGCCACTGTGCCAGGCGCTGTATACACGGGTGTATCACGGTGGTGCCCCGGCGCTATACATGCAGGTGTATTACGGTAGTGCCCAGGCACCCCCCCATTGCACCTGGCACTGTACATGTGGGTGTATCACGGTGGTGCCCAGGCACCCCTCCCATTGCACCAGGCACATCACAAACCCAGAACCAGCCGGGCCCCAAAGGCCTCCCTGGCATTCAGTGGCTGCTAGGGCAGTTCTCCCAGGCAGGGCTTGCACAGGAAACAGCCAAGGCCTGGGGCACCCCCTGCCCCTGCCATGGGGGGCCAGGCACTGAGCCCCCCGGAGCTGGCTGAGGCCGCAAAGCCGAGCACCACGCGCTGACAAGCGGTGTAGGGTGGGGGTAGGCACCAGGCGCCCCCGCTCTGGCCTTGCCAGCAGGCCCTGGCCCGGAGGCCAGCCAGGGGAGTTGTGCCTGCAGGGCCCTGAGGCCAGCCACCAGCGACGGGAACGCTGGACAGGGGGTGGGGAGATTTACCCTGGAGCAGCACAGTCAGGGTCCCAAGCTGGCACTCAGGACACCTGGGTCCTCTTCCCAGGGCTGCAGGCTGAGTCCCCCCCCAGCATGGCCCCTTCTCCCACCCTGTCCACCACTGGGTTCAGACTCAGCGCTGTGGGGCTGGGCCTGGCCATGCGGCACCTGGGGGCCCCGCTCCAGCCAGCGTCTCCCAGCAGCGAGGGCCCCTCACCCGCCCCCTCTCTCCCGCCGCAGGGAGGTGGGTAGAACCAGCCCCCCCGAGACGCTGCGGGGGAAGAGCTCCGGCCGCCCGCCCCCCAACGTGGTGTTCGTGAAGACCCACAAGACGGGCAGCAGCACCCTGCAGAACATCCTCTTCCGCCTGGGCGAGCGGCACCACCTCACCGTGGCCTTCCCCCGTCACACCTACCAGTTCGCCTACCCCCTGCGCTTCGCCGCCGCCTTCGTGGAGCCGCTGCCGCCGGGCGCCGCCCGCTACAACCTGCTGCTCAGCCACCTGCGGCTGGCAGCTGGCGAGGTGCGCCGGGTCATGCCCCCAGACAGCCTCTACCTCACCATCCTGCGCGACCCCGTCCGCACCTTCCAGTCCGTCTTCGCCTACTACCGCAGCACCGTGCCCGCCTTCCGGCCCCTCGCCAACCACACCCGGCCCCTGGCCGCCTTCCTGCAGGCCCCGGCGCGCTACTACGACCCGGCCGACGTGGGCAACGGGCTGGCCAGGAACCCCATGGCCTTTGACCTGGGGCTGGAGGCCGGCGGGGAGGAAGGGGGCAGCCGGTGGGACCGGGAGCTGGAGCGGCTCAACCAGACCTTCCACCTGGTGCTCATCGCCGAGCACTTCGACGAGTCCCTGGTGCTGGCGCGGGAGCTGCTGGGGCTGCGGCTGGAGGAGCTGGCCTACGTGCGGCTCAACGCCCGCCGGGGGGCCGTGGACGAAGCCTCGGCCCCGGGGCTGGCGCGGCGGATCCGGGCGTGGAACTGGCTGGACGTGCGGCTCTACCGGTACTTCCGGGCCGTGCTGTGGCACCGGGTGGAGCGTTACGGCTACACGCGCATGAAGGGCGAGCTGGAGGCCCTGCGCTCGCTGCTGGGGGAGACCCGGGAGACCTGCCTGGCCGGGGAGGCCGTGGGGCCGGAGGAGACGGCCGACGAGCTGCGGCCCTGGCAGCCCGACTCCGCCACCATCCTGGGCTACAACCTGCGGCCCAGCCTCCCCCCGGCCCAGTACGCCAGCTGCTACCGGCTGGTGCTGCCGGAGCTGCAGTATCACGCCCGCCTCTACTACCGGCAATACGGCAGGGAGATGTGCTCCCTGCCGTGTGACTAGGGGGGACAGGCCAGGGGGCTTTGAATGCCCACCAGTGAGCCCCAGGGCCCAGAGCAGCAGCCCAGCCCCCTGGCCCCACAGCCCCTCTCTGACCCACAGCCCGCGAGCGGAGCAGGCGGCAGGACAGCTGGGCTTTCTTCGCTGCTTTGTCACTGCCCCATCCCCGCTCCGGGCCTGAGATCCCCCCCACTTCGCCTAGCCAGACTGAGCCCTTCAGGGCTGCCCTCAGCGGGATGGGGACCACGTGTGCAGCGCCCAGCCCAACCCCCTCCCCTGCCCCCTGGGAGCTGAGCACCCAGGAGCCCTGCTCTTAGCCCGATCCATAGAGCGCTGCTGTAGCTCGCCCTGGAGAAGCTGGAAGCGGCCCTGCCCCACCCTGCGTCACGCACGGCCCCCAGCTTTCTCCTTCCCGCAGGACCTTACCCGAGAGGCCCAAGGAGCGCCGGACTTTGGAGGATGGGGGAAAGCGCCCCCCCGGTGTCCCAACCCACAATAAATAAACCAGGTCCATTTAAAACCAGCAGCTGTGGCATGTTCTGACGCCGCTGAAGGGAGAGCCTGCTCCATTGGGCTGCCCCGGGCTGGGGGGGAAGGGGTCAGCGTCCCCTCCTCCCTACTACACAGGGTGCACGTGGCTGGTTCGATTCCCGTGCTAAAGCCCTCTCAGCCTGCCGCCACCCTAAACCATGGGGCCCCCGGCCCCAGCTTTCTGCTGTGTTAGGGCTGGAGTAGAGCAGTGGAGGGGCTCGTGATGCCCCCACGCTAGCCCTGTGGCTCTGCTCCCTGCCCCCCAGTGAGGAAGGGCCTGGCCCTATGTTGGCTCCGAGGCCTAGTCTCCTTCCCTGTGGTGCGAGGGGTGCTGCACAAGGACGGTGGGCTGGTGGAGAGCAGTGATAGGGTCCCCTGGGGGATACAGGGGTCCCCCCACCTCACGGGGTCAGTGCCTGCGGATGGCAGCTCCCTCTGGGGACAGGCGGCAGCCGGGCCGTCTGACTCTGCACTGCGGTTCAGAGGGGCAGAGCTGGAAACAGCCAATGACCCGCGCAGCAGTCGATCAGCTCCGGGGGGCGCTAGATCCTAGCACAGTAACAGGCCCGGCCTAGGTGAGGGCACCGCTCTCCCCGCGGGCCAGGGATTTATTCCAGTGTGAATTGCAGCCTGGGAAGTACAGCGTGCAGCAGGGGCTCTCCAGTTCTTCGCCGGCTGCCTGTCCCCACAGGGGGGCGCCCTAGAGCCACGTCCCAGCGCCCCCTGCTGCACCACCAGTGTTGTGACGTGGTGGGCGGGGCAGCCAGTGGCCCCCGCCGTGTCTCTATAAATAAGTAATAAATAAGGGGGGAGCGGCCTGCCCCCGCTCACAGGAAGACGAACTCGTCCGAGCTGGCCTTCTTGGCCTTGCTGTGCCTGGGGAGCTGCACGGTCTGCTGGGAGAAACGGGAGCACAGCTCGGCCA